CATCGCAAATTTGGCCGGCGAGCGCGCCGAGACACGCGACTTCATGTTGAACGAAGGCATTGTTAAAATGGTCACTTACATGTACACGAAGTACTCAAATAATGAGTCGTTACTCACTGATTTGGTCTTTATTATTAGAAACCTTTGTATTAATAACGACCCTTGTGTCCCATATGATAAAGTCCAAGAGACTATGCCTATTATCATTACACTATTAAAGCCGATCATCTTCGATAAGCCGTATGTCCCCGACGCAATATGGACGTTATCTTTCCTTTTGCACGACAAAGTTAACTTCACGGAACTCTCAAGGTATTACCCCTTGGTTTTACAATATTATCGATGTGACTTCGAACCAGTCTTAGAAGCGTGTGTAAGTTACTTAGGTGGATATGTCGAGCATGGCAGTGAACAATGCACTATATTTGGACAACCCGACATCTTCGAGCGAACGAAAGAAGTTCTCTGTAGTGATGTCTCAGCGAAGACAAAGTCTCGATTAGTAACTATATTATATAATATGGTGTATACTCGTATACCCAATGTAGAGTATACTACCGTATCTCAATTCCTTCCATTACTCATCAATTACTTCATTAAAACAATCGACGACCACGACTTAAAACTTGAAGTTGGACTCTTTGCAGTGGAGTGTATAGAAACCACAAACCCCGCTATATTAGAAGGGATCTTGTCGATCCCAAATTTCTTTGAATTTGTCATCTTACTCTTTGAAATCGATGATAGTTCTTTTATCCTTCGCTTATTGGTTTCTCTTCGCAAATTATTAGTGTTTGACAGCACGTACGGAAATCGATTCAAAATAGCAGAGCAACTCGAAGAGCGGCAATTCAATGGAATTTTGTCTTCTTTTGAATTGGTCAAATACGCTAAGCACAAACTTATTCTCAATGTTATTGGGGACTTAACTAAAATATTGAATTACCGCACTACAACACTCTTCTAAAGACAAGAAGACCGTCTTTCATTCAATACTTAAGATGAAAAGTAAATGTAATTAATTATTGTTTTCTGGTTCATAGACTTTTGGTATCTCAGTAGTCTTTCGGAAGAATTTGGAAGAGTTCGACGACTGTGCTCCATGCCCCGCAAGTCTCCCTTGTCCTCGCGTCAGTGTTTTCGAAGAGACGTTCCATTTTGAGATTCGTGCGTTAGCAAGTTGTTCCTTAGTTTGTGGTTCTTCTTCTTTTTGTTCTTCATGTTTTGGTTCGACAAAAGCGCCTGTTGGGGGTTCTTCTCCGTTTTTGTCTTCGATGATTTCGGCGGACTCCATGATGGTGTCCAATTCACTTTCTCTTGGGGTTTCTGCTTGTTCTCCATTTGCATTTAGAACCTCTTGAGAAGGGTCTCGTGGGGTTTCTTTGCCCTCTTTCTTTGTTTTTTCCTCACTCTCATCCGTCTCATTCTCGTCAGTCAATGTACTTTTTTGTTCAGAGTTATTCACTTCACTCGTCTCTGTGGAAGTGGTACCTTCCTTTTTCTCTTTATCTTTCTCGCGTGGACTTTCTTTCACCGTGTCTTTCCCTGTCTTCGTTTTCTTCGCCATCAACCGTGCTATTTTCTTGTCGGAGTGTGTTGCTAAATATTCCTCATAACATTGTTTACACACTCTTTCCTGTGTAGTGTTCCCCTCATTAATAGGCATTCGTCCTTTACTGCACTCCGCACAGATGCATTTCCCACATTTCCTGCAGTGGTGTCTTCGATTCACAAAACTGAATTTCGATTTACACAGCGCACACTCCGGTGACTCCGAGTCGGGCACAAAAACCGGTCGAATGAAGTTTGCACCCTTTGCCTCATTCCCCAGTGTTGTTTTAGAATTCGTAATTTGGTCCTGAATGTTCTTCACCCACTTCTCCTTCTCCTCCTTCGACTTACAAAAGACCACAAAACTTCTCTCCGCATTTCTGATCTGAAACGCAAACTGTTGTTTATCCGAATCAGGAACTTCTTCGACCACTGTCGAGCGCATCTTGAAGACTTCACTAATTTGCACCGAATTTTTGTTCCCCTCCCCATACACCATGATGTCATTGAACAACACAAAGTAACGCTCTTTATTCGCCTTCCGGCATACTTTTGTGAGAACACCTTCCATCACAAAAAATCGATGCGCCTGTACTACATCCTTTTCGGGGACTTCTCCCTTCTTGGCAATACTCTCGCAGAACTCCTTGTAATTGGTGAGGACCTTTTTCATTCTAAAAAGTGCCAACCGCCGCTCGGACTCTTTAATCGACTCATTCACGTCTTTGGCGACTTCAGACATTTTGTCGAGGGTTTCACTTAACATTTTATAATCGGGGTGCTCTTGCGTCGTGTTCTTCTTCAACTCTTTCAAGAGTAAGACATAACGAGGAATACGTTGAATAGGCATAATGAGTAATGACCTTAAGTCGTGTTGGATTTCGCCGGGCATACTTTCGCGACACTTCTCGAGCATGTCCATGACGTTTTTGTCTTCCTCCCACTCGGAGATGATTTTGAACGCATTCTCGTTATTACTCACAAATTGCTTGTAAGCCTTCATGAATGGCACAAACTTGTTAAACTGTTGTACTATAATACACTCGAGTGTTTCTTTACTCGACTCTTCAAGTCTTTGTTTCAACAGTTTGTTGATCTCAATGACTTGGTCAAAGTCTTGAAATACTTCTTGGACCTGTTCTTGGTTGATTTTGCTCACTTTAAGTACTTCGTGGTAATACTTCTCACAGTCTTGCAGGGAGCGCAAATAACTAACTTCAGTGTCTAATATTTCTTGGGCCACGTGTTGTCTTTTTGTGAGTTTCCCCTCTTTCTCCGCTTCCATACTTACTTTTTTAAGTTCTTTGATTATTCGAGTTTTCAAGTGTTAATTTCAGTTATTATCAAAAAAAACTAAGAACTCTAAGATGTATTAATTTCTTTATTTATAATATTTATTATTCATTTAATTTATTATTGTTATAATAGTTTTACAATGTTCAAAGCATTTTTGAGAAGATAGAATCATATCGGAATAAAATCAGTTTCGTTGCTATTTTGTTTTGAAAAGTTAAAATGTTCCGACTTTGTACTTAGAAATATATTATAATTAATTAATATGATATAGTAAAAAACAGTTAGATTACGATGTAGTGTTTGTATCTTCGTCTTCTAAAATAATAATTTCGTTTTCTTTGAAAATTTCTAATCATTTTTATACAATTCACACAAAGTTATTTGAAAAAATTGTTTATTTTATAGTTTAAATATAGTTAATTTTCCGATTGTTCATTTTGGTTTCAAAAAAATAAAAATATTTTAAAATCAAATGAAACATTGATGAATGGTATTCTAGTTAAATAATAATAAAATAACCATAATCAAACAAACAACGATTCAAGACATAGTAAATATACAACTCACTTCTGCAAGTGGTTTCTCCTCTGATATTCGATGTAAAGCCTCTTAAACGTCTCTGTTGATATTTTTCCTTCAATCAGGAGTTTGTTCAACTCCGCCAAATTAGCGGGGTTTGCGACATTTTGTTCCTCCATCTTAGCTTGAGCTGAGATGAAAGCGGAAGGCAAGTCATTTCCGTTTTGTTCTTTGATGTCGATTGGTGATCTTTGTGGAGGTGGGACCATTCCAGAGTCTCCCGAAAATTCTTGATGAATCGATCCCTTCTTATAAGCCATTGGACTTTTCTGTTGCACAGTTTGTTTATCGAAGGGATTGAATCCCGTGTTAAATGTTTCTGGTCTTTTAAACGGATTGAAGTAGTCGTTATATTGTTGTTGCATTTGAGGTTGATAAGGTGGGTATTGTTGATATTGCGGGAGAGGAGGCATCATTTGAGGCAGTCCTTGTGGGTATTGAGGGAATTGTCTATAAGGGGTGTATTGATTGAATTGGTTGAAAGGGGCAAAAGTGTTAAAAGTATCATTTGATCGAAACGGAACAGCACCAGGGTTTTGCTTGAGTTGTTGGATTTCTTGTTGGAGTTGTTGTTGGATATCGAGCAAATTTTCTTTTCTTTTTTTTAAGGGAGGTAAGTTGGAGAAGTCTCGTTGTAAGCACGCCATGATATCTAAACTCGTCGAGTTTTCATTCCAAGTTGCTAAGAGTGGATGTGTAATAGTTCTATCTGGCATAGCATAAGGGTGTTGTGGGACTATCATCATTTCTGGGGAGGGGTCAGTTAAGAAAAAAGGGGGTTTAATAGGATAGTCATAAGGAAACATGACCATCATAGGGATGTTATAGTTGTTTTCTAAGTACTTAATAGGAAGGGTTCCAACTAATGTAATGAAATTTGTTTGTGTAAGGGGGTGCGGAAGAATCGTCACCTCCAATGGAAACGCTTTTTGTAGCGCATTGATTTCTACTTCGACCCTGCGGAAGTACATGTACATCGGCTTTATCCGGCTAAAGTGCATTTGGTCATTCGGGTTCATGAAAATTAATTCTTCTGTTTTTCAGTTTTTTGTTCTATTTTTTCAGGATAAATTCTTCATTGAGAAGGGCATCTATAGGTGAAAAAGAGACACGTCGAACAACTGGTGATTAGATTATTTCGATAGTAAGTTTACTAGTTTATATATGGTTGTTTTTTAGTTTAGAGTGGCAAAATATGGGTATTGGTGAAGCTAGACAAAGCAAGACAATTTATGAGAGAAAGAAACAAAGAAAGAAGTTGTGACAAAAGAAACGACTGTGTTATCGGGAATAAATGACTCAAATTATACAAAAATGAGTAATCACAATCGGATTTTTTCGGGCTAAAAATGATAACCTTATTATAGATGTTGGGCTGGTTTCGAGAAGTTAATCGAAAGTGGATTTGAATATTAATTCAACAAAACAAGTTCCGAATTGATAATTATAGAAACTATCGGTGATTTATAAAAAAACAAATAAATTGTTTATACTTATAGTTTAAATATATATTACTGTAATAATTTATTCAACATGATTTTTAATTGATTAATTAAAAAAAATAACTAAGTTTAATTATTATTTTTTTACTATTATTAAATGAATTAAAATTCATAACAAAAATTATTAAATTTGTTAAATTATATTTATTTCAAAATCTATATTATACCTATATATATTATTAATAAAAAAAGATAAAATTATTAAATTTGTAAATAATAAAAAAATGGTTATTTTTTTTAACAAAAAATGGTTATTTTTTTTAACAAAAAATGAAGCCATGATTTTTATTAAAACTCAATTTCAATGAAAAGAATATTAATTTTTATTTATATTTAAAAGAAATATAAATAAAAATGAGATTTATCTTGGTTTGTGTTACTAAGATTTGTGACTTTGTTTTAGTAAAAATTATTTTAACATAAAAAATACTCCCAATTTTTTTGAATTATAATATCTAATATATTTTGTTAAATATCTAATACTATAATTATTTATGGGTAATTTCAAAATTATATTCAATAGTTATCCCGAAATGATAGTCTACCAATCCCCGATAACTTTTTTGTTAGAAAGATTTAGTTAACTTATGATTTTTATGATACATGAACTTGACCTGGATTATTAAAAACTATAAATAAACAAAAGAAAACTATACTATACTATTTATGATAAACCATCATCATGGCACAGTTTACATATGTTAACACACATGAAAATTTAATTAATTTATTTATTTTATTTTAATAGATAATAATAATTATATAAATCAACTATTTACCAGATCGAATATTTTGTTACACCAATTCATAAGAAAGACAACCAAATGTCAGTCAAATAGACTTTAATTAAACCTAAAATTAAAGATATAACAAATTATAAGAAAACAAATTATAAGTAATAGTACTTAAAAAACATGACCTACATTCGGGCTATTATGCCAAGGAGGCAAGAACCTTCGAAAAATTCTTCCATTTTATTTTTGGTATATAAGGGTTCTCAAATTCAGTTAAAAATCATCTATGAAACATCATGACGCTTTCAACCTAGGCCAGAACCATATTCAATTTTTGAATGCAATGGGGTTCCATCATAAAGTGAAATCATCGAACATCTGTGCTTTTAAGAACAATCATTTAACAATCGACCACATCGTCTCTCCTTCCGAAAAAACAAAAGATGTACTCCGTTCTTTCTTCGTCGACTATGTCAAGTTGATGAAAGTTAACAACAAACCAATGAACGAGATTGCTGCTACTATTCCAGTCGTTGAGTCAATGTCTGAAGAAGACAAAAAAATTTTTATTGCTGGTAGAGAACTTAAGTTCAACGATGATTGGTTTAGATCTTTACCTAATGATAAAGTCAATAGATGGTGGTATATACTAGAATTCGCATATAGTCTCGACGAAACATTGTAACTTTTAAATATGTTTTTGTTACTATTACTTTTCTTATTATCTTAAGTTCTTATTTATATTATAAATATATTACATTATTATAACTTCAATGTAATTCGTTCATTTTATAATTAATCTATTATTAAAAAACTATATATTATTATATACTAAAAATTTAATTTTATTATAATTAAAATTCAATACACTATTAGTTTTAATGAAACCTATACTATTACTATTAAAACTAAAATACCATTAAAAAACCTAATAGAACCCTTCAACAAATACAAAATAATCAATTTACAAATTATTAACAGTTCCATCCATAAGTTTTAAAAGAAAAAGAAGACAAAGTCGTTCCAAAACTAACTTGTCCCTGCAACGAAGTGCAAACAGACCACAAAAAATCGAATTAAAGATACTAAGCACGTTTATTGTTTGTCCTCGGCTTGTGCGGTTGGTTCTTCCTTCTCTTCTTCCTCGTCGTTCTGGACGTTGTAGAACTTCAAGACAAAGCCCTCGTTCTTGTCGGAGACGACTCTGAGCCATTCTCTGAGGTTGTTCTTCTTGAGGTACTTCTTCATTAAGTACTTCATGTACTTCTTGCAAAGTCCTTCCTTCTGGGTGGTGATGGTCACCTTCTTTCCGTCAACAATAGTGACTGAAATGCCCTTGGTATTGCCAGCCTTTCCGCTCATTTTAATGGTTTGTTTGAAGTATGTGACAAGCTTCTTTGGCTCAATGAAATCGGTGCAGCTTGTCAAGTCGAAGAAACAAGTGAAAGTGGTGGCCTCCTCGTCCTTAGTAACTTTCTTCTTGTCGACAACTACTTTCTCACTTGCTGGGGCTTTAACGGCTTTGCTCATCAACTGGCGTATAGTAGTACTCACAAAACCTTTTTAACCCTTTTCTGATACTTATACAATATAATCAACTATAATTTTACTAGTAACTTTTATTAATTCATTAATGGTAAAAATAACAATTAGATTAACATATTTTTACTTACTAATAATTAACAATATTATTAAATAAAAAATTCAACCAAAAAGTCAATAGAAAATTCATATATTCAACATTGTAGTATTTTTCTTTGTCTAAAAAATTAAAATGGAACAAATATGTCCATTCACATTACATTAAACGAATTTCTTTTTTCATTGTGACACGTAAACAACGAAAAGGAAGGTGCTGGGTTGTGACATCTTTCATCTAGACTGATTCGGCGGTTTTGTTGTTTATTAATAGTCATCTGTGATAATAAGTTCACAATTTCTTCATCTTCTTCATCGAAGTCAAGTGAAGACATAGTATGTCCATTCTCCGTTTGACATCTCTCCATGAAGACCGTATGACAGAAGTCTTGTTTACATAAATCCGTCGAGTTACATCTTTTTCGTGCAGCGGTAGCTCCAAGATGTGTATGAAAGACTAATGGGCTTTCTGTGCGTTTGTTTGGTTTTGTGAAACAGCTGATATGGAGAGAATCCATTGACTCTATCTAAACTTTTCAGTTGTGTGTTTTCCATTTCTTTTCATTGACAAAACTGTCAACAACAAAAAGTCGAGGATTGATTGTACTCATTCAGACTTGTTGTATCTTTTTTGAGCACTTTGCACTTTTTTCGGCATTTTTATTTCTGTGGTGCAATTGCGACTGAAATTTATTCAATTTTGACGGACAAAATCCACTTTTTTGTTGGATTATTCGTTTCGGTTTGCTCAATTAAGATAACAACACCACATCGCCATTTTTATTTTTAAACGAAACCAAAATGGTCCAAACAAACAATTCAATAACTTTTTCTATTTTTTTAATTCAAAAAACTATCACCATTAATAGATATCTTCATCGAATGACAAATCTTTGCATTCTTTAAAACAACGTTACACGGATTCATAAAATGCCGATTTTCTCGTAGTTTTCTAAGCATTTCAAATTTTGCGATAACCAATTTAGAGTTGTTTTTGATGAAAAGATTTTTAATACCAAATTTGAATTAAACCAGTTGAAGTCTAGTACTTTATTATACATAAATAGTAAAAATTTGTTAATAAAAATTAGAAGAAAGTCGCCTTCTACTTCTTTTTGTTGATGTAGTCGAACAAGTCAAAAACAAAGGGAGACTTCCCGATGTTAACTCGAAAAGCGTCGACACTATTAATCGACAAAGCTAAGTGGACATCAGTAAAAGACACTTCCGTCTCTTTTACAAGTTTTCCACATCGTGTGAAAAATGCGGTGTGCGTCTTTGGAGTGTATCCACACCCCAAAGTTTCTCCATACGTTGTTGCTCCACATACAGTTTCATTGTCACCGTCTTTGAATAAGTTTCCATCGTCGGAGTGAAGGCCAATACTCTTTTTGTTCCACCCAAGCATTTGTCCAGGCTTCAGATGAGTACAAATCTTAACTGATGAATTGCCAACAAATGAAAAAGACAAACAATGTACCCAGAACTTGCAAGACCAACAGCAACAACATTCATAACACCACTTTCGTCGTCTTGAAAACTTGAGTCGTTAGGATTTCTAATGACTGAGTTCGGGGCGTGTTCAAATGTCACTTCGAAATAATAACTCGGCGACAAGACAATTTGGTGCACATCGGGCGCTGAACAATAAATCATCGTTTGTGACTTGACAAGTGGTTTTGGGTCTAAAACAACGTCGATACATTCGATGAGAGTTGTCGAACAAATGATGTCATTGGACTTCACAAATTGATGGACAGAGTCTTCTGGAAACTTGAATTGTGGAAATGTGTAGTTTTCTATAAGGGATTTCGCCAAAGAGGGGAATGGTCTATTGGAAATGGATGGATGCAGCTCGATCCGGCCAATAAGTTCAAAATGTAAGAGAAGTTCATTTTTTATTGATTCATCTTCCTTTGACATTGTTGTCGATTTAACAATTCTTAGTTTGAGGTTTTAGTTTTTTGGGTTGGAATGGAGTGGTGTAAATAATTGAATAGTAAAAAAATAATAATGAAAAACTCAAACAGTAGAAAATCTTTTTGAAATATTATAAATTGACATTCACAGTCGAACATAATATATGCTATTGCCAAGTTGAATTCAAAGCAATATCACGGAAACAGTGGTACTTAATAACAACAACTAAATAAAATAAATGATAAGTGTTTGATTAGTGTTGAACATTTTTTTTAATAATGTAATATTTTATTAATAAAAATTATAAAAAATAGATTTATTGTTAATATAAAGTTTTGAAAATTAAAATCTTTTGATAACATCACATCCAAGCAAGAGGATAGTCGAGATGAAATTCCTTTTGCTTAAACTTTTCATTGGTATTTAATCTGTGGTCGGTTTCGTACTTTTTGTACTCCCTTTTGAGCACTTTCACACAAAACGGCCCTCCAAATATGTTGGTGGTGCTTACAGCATGGTCCAACTTTTCGCAGCCCTCCTCGTTGTTGTAGACAAGTTTCACCACTTCAGTCTCGTTGCACTTACTAATTTTGAACTCGTCTATATCTCCAAAGCTGCTAAAATAATGAAAGAGTTTATCTGGTTCAACTCCGTATGGAACCATAACCCATATTTTACCTTTAATATGTCGTTGCATTCCGTTGTTGTGTGTATTTTTTCCCCTTTATGTTCCCACATTCCGTCATTTTCAATCTTGTGATTTGATCAGTGAAACGTTTTTGGAAACAAAAACGAAAATGCAAAATAAATCGAATTAATTTTTTTTTTGAAAAAAAATGAAACGATCTTTAAAACAAAAAACAATGACAAAACCCGTAATTCCACTCACTCTGATTCTTGTTGGCGATTCGGGTGTCGGAAAAACGTGCTTAGCTCGTCAGTTAATTAATGTTTGTTCTTTAGCGTTCCTCCACTCTTTTCATTTTATCTTTTTTACTATTTAAAACTATAATAAAACTACAATTAACTTATAATTAATTTATAATTAACCAATCTCGTCTTTTTACCAAAACTGACTTCGAAGAAACGTTTCGATGAAGCAACAGACTCGACCGTCGGAATCGAGATGTTCCGAAGTAAAATGGATTTTGATCAGTGTGTAGTTGACTTGACATTGAAAGACACGGTTTGTCCTTTATGTATTTTTCATTCGTGTGTTGAACCAGAACAAAATAATTTTATAACTATAAAATATACCATACCCAATCATTTGAGTCTTGGATTGGTGAGAGTTATAAGAGAGTTATAGTATATTACTAATATACAATAGAAAGTATAGTATCTCTACTATACCATTTTAGTATAAATAGTAAAGATAATAGTAATGTTCTATTCGATACTATTTAATAGTAATGTCTATTAATGGAATGGTTCATACAATAGTAACTCATCAGTAGTGTGGGCAAGAACAATACCGTAGTATCGTTGCACAGTTTTATCGCGATTCACAGGGAGCGTTGATTGTTTACGACATAACAAGTCGACAGTCCTTTGAAACCGTCCAAGAGTGGATATCGAATGTGTGTCAGTTGTGCCCACAAGGCGTGAAAGTGATGATATTAGGCAATAAAGTAGATCTTGAAATGGATTCAAGGATTATATCGTTTGAGGAAGGACAGACATATGCAAAGGAGAACGGATATCCATTTTTCGAGACTTCCGCTAAACTCAACGTGAAAGTCGAATCATCGTTCAGAGAACTCGTCCAGTCGATTTTACAGTCAAGAAACTTCCAACAGGAGGCTCCACAATCGACGTCGGAACCAGTCATCGTCTTACAAAAACCAAAACAGGAACAAAAGGAAAATTCAGAGCAAGTGCAACCACAGAAGAAGGACGGGTGCTGCTAAGGTGTGCCTTTTGTTATTCGTTTTGTTATTCCGTTTTGTGTGTTTTGGTCTTTTTTGTATTATTTTTATTCTATTGGTACTAATATAATATTTTTATTTCATTCTGCAATGTAACTAGTATAATATAATACAGTTTACTAGAGACTGGTATTATAACTTTCACAAAGAAAAAACACTGAACACTAAAAAATGTGATAAAAATAAAATTAAAAAATCGAATGAATTACATTTAAATATAATTTAAACAAATCAAAAATATGGAACTTAAAAAAAAAAATATATTAATTTAATTAAAAACGAAAAAAAAAGCGACCACGAGAAAAGTGAGGGAAAACGAACTTAAAAATCAGATAGATGGAATCTCATCTTTCCCCTGAGAAACCGAAAGTAGATAAACCGAAAGAGACGAAGACTGACAATGAGAAAAAACGAAAAAGTCGTTCGAATTTTGTTCTTCACACGGACGCTCTTCTTTATCTTCTTTTGAAGCGTGGATGGACCGTTAAAATAGTCAAACAAAAAACCGCGAAAGTGACATCTCAGAACTACAAATGTGTTCAACTTTCTAAAAAAGGGATGATGATTGAGGAATGTATTGGAGAAGAAGATCTCTATAAACTCGGTGCTGTCTTTGAGGAAATCTTCATGAAAAAGGCTGCTACAATTGAAGATAAGTGTCTCTCTATGGAACAGGCCGACCTCATCCCTGACGAAAATCCATCAGAAACAGTTTCAGAGGAGAAAAAGGATGTGTAGTTGTTTGTATTGTAACGTTCTCGTAAGTATAATTAACTTCTTGTTATTTTAGATATGGTTGAACTTAATTATATACAGTTTAATTAGTTTGACGTATTGCATTGGAACTTAAAATAAAGCAATGAACTATTCATTTGAATGTTGAAATAATCAATCTGTGTTGTTTTGAATAGAGAAGTGGACATACTGAAATGGTAGTGTGTATTTATTACTTTATTTTTTATTTAAATAGAAAAAGGTATATTTTAAATTTGAGTCTATCAAATTTGTCTATTTGTTTAAAAAGCAACTAAATTTGTATCGACGTTCAGTTGTGGCGTGTCGTTCAATAGGTTAACTGTAAAATAAATTAATTTAACTTCAAGTACTGCTCAGTCTCTTTATAAATAATATCAAAGCTTTGGAATCTGCGATAAGAGACCAAATTGTTCTTCAAGTCTCGTTTGAAAGTGTTCAAAGAGTCTTCAATAATTTTGTCTGTATACTCATTGCCAAAGACGGACTCGGGTTTCTAAATTTTAGTTGCATTGTTATTTTTATGGTGACGTTGAAAAGAACAAACGAAGTCACAACGTGGAAGAAAGTCTCTTGTAAATAATATAACAGAACATATTGCTAGTAACTTTCTATTGAAAGCCGAAAAGTTTGGGTTGAATGAGACTAGTAATACAAATAATGAAGACATCTTCTTGACCACGTCACTAATGAATGAATTGAAAAATCCACCCTTCAACAAATAGTCACAAAACTGATTCGACATTTCTATTGGATTATCAATATCTTCTTGCTTCATCACACTCTTTATCTCCAATTTGGCTTTGGTGATTTCATCATAAGAAAATCGGTTTCGACATATTTGAACAACTTGGAATGGAGTTAAAGGAAGTAGACTTTCGACTACCAGAATGAAGCAAGCCAAGACTGTCAAATCTCGTGAAGGCACTTTCTTATTAACATTCTTGTCAAATAAGATAATGACTTGGACCATAATAGCACTACTTAAATTGTATTTCTGACTTATTGCAATCACCCAATTGACTAAATCGCATCGCGCTTTGATATCTTCTTGGAGTTTCATATTGGCTCCGCCTTTTGACACTTCCTCTTTCAACTTCTTTTCCTCTGAAGATTGCATTGGTGTTCCACTAATAGTCTCTTCTGTCATTAATTTCTCCTAGATCCTAGCCTTTTTTCCTTCTTTATCATCTCTTCTATTTATAATACACTCAAAGAGCATCTATTCTATTTTTAGATTTTGTAACCAAATGAAAATACAATAAATTAAAAATAACTATTGTTGGTATTTTCGACCAAAAAATGTTATTTATAACAAAATTTTCAAAATAAAAAACATTTAAAAAAATAAAAAATGTTAAAAATGTTAAAACTAAAAAATTTAGGAGAAAGACTATGAAACCAGACACCCCACCAAATATCCCTCAGATCTCTTCAGTCTTATGCAATGCTATTGTTTGTTATTTTCTATGAAGTTATTATGATTTATTAATTATAGTAACATATAATTAATAGATAATTAATAGATAGTAACAAGTAGCACACTCAGTTGTTAAACAACCCACATACAATTGCTTTCACTTTTGTCGTCAACGCAGAAACACAAACAGCGGAGATCATTTCAACATCTAAATTCACAACACTGTTGAACCAAGAGTTGATAAAGAACTTCATCCAGATCGCAACGGCAAATGTCGAAGAGCCACAAACACCAAAAGACGCCGTCGACAAATTTCGCGTCTATAAAATCCCACTCCCACCCCCTTCAAACGAACATCCACAAGGCCAAGGCATTCCGTCTGTGAAAATGGAAGAAGAACGGCCGTTCACCCCATCACGACGGATGACACCAATCACACGGTCGTCGCCGCGAATGTCTCCGGCGACACCAAATCCAAATTATGCACAACTTGAGCCCGAGCTTGTGTTACCGAAACCGCCGCAGTGCACATCGCCAAGAAGAAATAAACGAACACCGACACCACATAAACAGTGTTTCCATCAAACGATAGATACCACTATAGATGACTCGACGAAACAAAAGTTAATCAATGTACTTGGAAAGAACCCGGGAGATGAGTGGAAAGAACCAAAGTGAGGACTCGGGTGTGTATCAAATATGGCTGTGTATGCCTGAGAGGATGTCCATTCGTTCTTTTATCGATGTTTTTCTCATTTGTTTGGGTTTGTGTGGATTCTATCACGATTTCTCTAATATTTATCGGGAAGAATGAAGTTACTTTTTGTTAAGGATTTGATCAATAAATTGAAAACAAAAGAAATTAAGTTTGTGTTTCAATAAAAATTGGCGATGGAAATTATGAGAGGAATTTGATGGAATTTTAAAGTCAAACGAAAAAAAGAGAAATACTCAACTCTAGTAATGTAATAATAAAAGTACTAATAGAGTAATGGGGAAATGGAGATAAAAACAATAAGAATTGATTTATGATTCAAATATCTAAATATTTCAAAAAAGTTTAAAAAAAGAAAAAACTGAAACCCAATTTCATAGGATGAAAAAACGTATTTTAAAATGACATAATCATTATATCGGACTGATGAAAGAAAAGAAGTTGTTTATGGTAAACGTTATTATATTTATAGTTCTCAAAAATGTAAGGGGGTAACAGCCGGGCTTAATATTATTATTAGAAATGATCAAAAACTGTAATATGATTACACGCGTTTACAAGTATGTTTTGTTATCACACAATTTAAAAGAATTGTCGAATTATTTATTTATAAATGGACAAAGTCGGATTGAAAAAAAGAGAAAAAAAAAGAGCAAAGAAAAAATTGCTTTCATCAAACTAAATAAAAATAATGAAAATTTTTTTCGATTTTCCAGAACCATAGTTTTAACTATAAGTTAATAATAATATTATTATTAGAATAGATAACTAATAGAAACACTTAGTATTATTGAAACGGCAACCAAGGTTATGTATATGATATTTCCTGTGATGTTACGAGTCTATTTACTAATAAAGTTTCGGTTTGACGTAATTGCTCCACAGAACTACCCCATAAATCAATTGTTTTTATTTTCATATTTGTTGATGATTTATTTTTTGTTTTTATTTAACACAATTATAGATTAACCAGTTTAATTATTTAAATAATAAATGTAATTAATTATCAAAAGTTATATTGATATAATATTATAATTATAAAAATGAATTATAATTGACTAAATAAAGGATAATATAGTTTATTATAATAAACCATTTAAAATACCATAAAAGACGTGAATAAAATAAATAAAAAGAACTATATTCAGAACTATCAAAATTAGATGGCCAAGACCAATGTAGAAGATGAAGTGTGGAGCATCGATCGCATTCAAGAAGAAGTTGAGAAGCGTACACAGTCTATTTTTGAGCGTTTAGTCTCCGAGCAAAAAACACGTGAGCGTATAAAATTCCAGCAACGTTCATCTCTTCGTAACAATCCATTTGTTCAAGATTCTTTAGATCGGAATCGTCACTCCCGTTATAGCTCCACAAATCGCCGTCGTAGTCGAAGTCGTGAGCGCGATCGTCACAGTAGTGATGATCATAACACTCACCGTTCGTCACATTAATTTGATTTGTGCATTGTACTTGTCCAAATAATTACCACTTCCCTCTTCTCTTCATCTTCTTTTGTTGGAACACCTCAAGAGTGTATAGAATAAACTCTACTAAATACCTTATTAATTTTCAGACGACTCTTTCTTCGATGATGCCGAGTGTTCTCCAGACACCATTAAAGGTGAACGTGGACTAGTAGTGTTCGACGACTCATTTTCTAATTTCCCGATTTCTTCTTGTAACTTTGCAGTGAGATTGTCCTCGTCTTGAATGGCCTTTTTCAGTGTTGTTAATTGTGTTTTGTACTTCTCGATTTCTCCCGTCAGATCTTTGATTTCATCTTCAACTGCTTGTAATCTGTCAGCGTACGTGTTGCTACAAAATTCAAGCGACTGCTGCATTTCAGTCATGACGGAGTCTTCATTCTTCTCCGAAGAAAGTGCTTGTTTGAGTGCATCGACGTCTCTCGTCATCAGTCCCACAATCGCGTCCAAATTCGCTCGAATGAGTTCGACAATTTTCTGGTGTGCAGCGCCTTGTAAAGTGAAGTCCAATCCGCTCTTCTCGGTCATATACCCCGATCTTGGATGGGTGAAATTCTCATACAACTTACCTGCAGCGTTAGTCATGACAAGCGCAACTTCCGTTGGTATTCCAGACGTCAAAGAACCATCGTTCAATAACGATTGACACGCTTTAGAAAAGGCAGTGAGTCGCTTTGCCATATCTGGTGAAGGTGGTTGTATTGTGTCCATTACATGTTGTGGAGCGTGGAACACGGGGAACACAGTTCTCATGAAGAAGAGAAGATTAAAAGTGTTTTGTGGTGTTGATTTTGGTGAGTTTTTGTTAGCGACTTCGACGGATATGAATCGCAACAACTGGTGGAAGTGCGACGGCAATAAATTGATGGAGTCGACTAATTTAGTCGCAAAGGTCTTTGAGAGCGTACAGAAGGTATCCATCGTCTCTTTATAATTGGGCGAGTCTGTCGCACCAAAAGCATCGGAGTCTAATTTAATAGCATCGGACATCAACGACTGAATGATATCTCGTGTGACGGCTCTTAAATATGGCAGTAAACATAAATGACTATACTCCCCATATAACCGCGTGAATGAGGTATTCCCTCGAAAGATCTGCGTCTCGACATTCGTCGTTTCTATCTCGCGCTTTGCGACTTCTTTCATTAAATCTAGAAGTTTCCCATGAACGTTAAAATACTCAACTAACAGACGCGCGTTGGTGTTACACTCCGGCGCCATTTTCCCTTTCACTAATTCGGCACAGTAACATCGGAGAAACTCACTGTCTTTCACAAACAAAATCTTGTCAAAGAGGTGTTTACTCCCGTTGGGGTTGAATGTGCGGTGTGGCTGGAAGAAGCTCATCTTAATTTTTCAGATTACAGACTTGGGACCAACTATGAAATTGTTTTGATTTTTATGAGTATTTGACAGTCCTTTGACGGGAAATTTTGTGAGTAAGTCGTCCCAATCACTAAGTGACGGAATAACAATGACACTTATATATTATTATAATAACCATTTAATAGTAACATTTTATTAATTAATTAGTCATTTCAATCAGTCGTTTGTTCAATTGTCAAGGTGATTGTTGTCTTATATTGAATCAAAAAATATTTATTAAACACTTAAAATAACGCCCTTGTTTTTTTGTTGACCTGTTTTTTGTGGGATATTAATTTAATTTCTGATGATTTTCCCTTTTTGGGTTGTGTACTGTTATTCACATAATATAAATCTACAAAACTGGAATATTATTTAATAAACGCTAGATTTCCCGTTTTTTAATTTACTTGAATTTTGTTCAATGTGTTTTAAAGTGTTAAACAAGATGAATGAAGAGATAATGACAATAAATTACGTACAGTGAAATGTGTTTTTATAAATTATAAACTCTGTTTTTTTAACTATAGCAAATAATTTTATCGTATAGTTAAATTAATAATAATTTTTATTATTAATATAAATACAAAAATATAAAAAGAAACATAAGTAGAGTAACGGACAATTAGAGAGCACAAAATAGTTTCCAAAATTATGGTCAGCATTATCTCTTGATGTCGAGTCGGTTTTGGTATTGTTGTCTTTCTTTTTACTTTCGTGGTTTCCAAAAGTGTTGTTGACAGTTTCAATATCCGACTCGGGCCGCCAATTTTTTTCTGGGTTTGTGTCGGTTTGTTCCAGCACTTCGATCATCTCGTCAAGAGAGAGAGATTGCATTGTTTGAATATAAGAGTACTTATTAATTTGGATAAAAGAATACTTTTCCCGTTTTATTGTTATATTTTTATAAAACGAGAAACTACATCTAATAGTAAATTAAATTATATTGCTAATATTACGGAATTAAAAAACGATTATTAAAATGTTATTCGACGAAAATAAAGTTTTCAGTGTTGAAATACAGTGCGCCGTTTGGACGGTGAATGAAGACATCTTCTGAATAAAAGGTTTTGTCGTAAGGGACTGGGACTGTCCATCTAAAATAAGCAGAGTCGTTCAAGTTTTCAAATCTCAAAAAAATGACACCACCTCTCTTTGAAATTTTTGACACAAATGCAGGAACGACAAACAAAAATTCGCACGTGATTCCAACCTCAAAAATGACATCAGTGAGTTGCTTGATTTGGAAATTGAGTGGGAGATTTGACAACATGACAACTGTTGTAACGACAGCATATGTAAGGAGGGAATTTGATTGTAAAGAACAGAAATTTGGGGGTGCTACCTTGGTCACCATTGAGACGTACACCGTCCTGTAAATAAAAAGCATCTCCTGTAGGTCAACAATGCTCGTGGAGGTACTCAGCAACACCCAAGGAACAAAAGGAGCAACAACGTTCATTACAGTGTCCTTTGAAACCGGCTTATTTTTGTAAAAATTGGGCGATGTGGAGATCCTCTTAGAATAGTCGAAATTTAAGTAATAGTCGAGATATTTTGTGAGAAGATATGAAAATGAATAGTTTGGGATTTTGGAAGCGATACAATCAGGACATTCGCACCACTCAACATTTTGTATTGTACACAATGCTGGGAATATATACACAACATGACGTTTCGAACCACAGGATTTTGCGTCTTGAAGTGCAGGAATACCAACGGAATGAAGAAATTGAACAACCATCACGCGAGTTAAGGTCGAAAGGTGTTGGTTTGTTTGAAACAAAGTTTGGTGGAGTAAATCGACTGCGTCAAAAAGAAGTTCGAATGATTTGTGGAGCCGTTTATAAGTGTTAAAAAAGAGGTTGTTATAGTATCCCTCGTACCTGTCAATTGACACCTGAACAATACAAGTTGGCAACTTAACAACCAGTGCTGGTATTGACGTGTTTGTCATCCCGGTGGGGTGAAGTATCTTCTCGGACAGTGCTTGAAGCTTTTTTAAAATTGTCGACTTCTTGTATGATAAATACAAATTTTGGTAGTTGTTGTTTGATGACGAAAAGCTTACTGTGTTGCTGAACTTCTCATTCAAAGAGAATTGTGATCCTTCCAAAATTGAGTAACAATGAATTGGAATTGTGTAGTTGTGTACGTTCGTTTGATAAAGCTTCATCCCTGGAAAAAGCGCATGTAGGGTTTCTGCAATATCGCTTGGCTTTTGCGGCATCAATTTGACCAAATCTTCGTCGTTCCACTGTGCCGTTTCCTCGACGCATTTTCTTTGAAAGGGGTATTTTTTTTCCAACCACCCAACAAGACTTTTATTATCCTTTTCCATCTGATATTTAGATTTTTTTATGAAAAATAACAAATCGTGGAATTAAAAAATCCCGAAGAAACGTTTATATTAGTCGTTATTACAAACGAAGTACAAAGGCAAAGATATTTTTTCTATTTTACACAAAGAAAAAAATAAAAGTTATAAATTAAAATATTATAATTCCTTCAGAGTATGACAAATTTAGACACAAAAAACGATATTAATGAAACAACAAGTTATAAACGACCAAAAAGTACAAAAAGATATGGTTAATTAATCAGTATAGATATGATGCATATAAAAGTTGTTGTTAGGGTACATTTGTTTCTCCTCCGACAGAGGAGACATTGACGACGTTGGGGAATTAAAGTCTGATGAAGGTCTCACGACGACAGAGAACATCGAAGAAGTTGGCGAAAACGCTGACATTGAGTGTCGCCGTTTTATTGGCTCATTGTCTAATTTGCTAGGACTGAGTACAGGAGATTCCGACTCTGACGAGAGCGATTCGCTCCTTGAATTTGATTTTTTCATTTTGAGGAAATACTTCTGCGCGTGCGACCGGATCTGCACGACTGTTTTAGTTTTTATGTGTTGTTCTATCCTCTTCCAGTCTCTGTGATAGAGCGAAAGTCCTTCAACAAAAAGGGCGTGCTCTTCTGGCGTCCAAACCTCTCTTTTTTTTGTAATTGTGTACTGCTTGCGCTGTTTCCTCATGGGTGATAACGACCGTAGAGTCGGGTGTGAGCTAAATGATGCTTCACTCGACGAGCTGTGATTGCCATCGAGGGATAGATAGTGCAGACTCATCTAATCTTTTCGAAGTTCCAACTTATTTTTTAGAACCTTCCTTTTGATTTTTTCGGGAGTTGATGAGATCTTTGATGCTCTGATTGGCACTCATTTATTCTTAGCTAATTTATCATAAATTTATAGTATGGAAAAGGCATTTTGTCTATTCTTCTCAAAATCTCGAGATTTTTTTTTGTTATAGCTTATGTTATAGTTATTTTACAATTATTTTAATAATATATTTTTGGATCACAAAGGGTAAGATAAATAGTAATCCCGATTTGTTTTGATAATATGATAAAATTGTAAATGGGTTTATTTTTACCATTTTTTTTGATAGTTTTTTTATTTATTGTTTTGGTATATAATCATTAAAAACCCCCAAAATTAACTGGATATTTTTTTGTAAAATTTAAAAATGTTCTATTTTAAGAACAAACCAAATAATATTATTTTATATTATATTTTACTTATTTTTATTAAAAAAAATAATAATAAAAATTGTGTTTTTGTGACTATAATTATTTACTCACTTTAGAAAATAACATCATTTTGAAAAAGATTTGGCTTTAAAACTAATAAATGAATACATTTTAAATTGTTTAGCGAAATCGAATTGATTATCGCTAATTAAAAACCATAAATACATAGTAAATTTCTTATTAATTTTTACCATTTGACATTCTCAAATAAACGCTGGTTGTCAATATTTTTCTTTGCTTTTCAAATCGATTGGTTTCACCTATTAATCACACCACAACAATGACACTTCTGTGATTAACTACATTAAATGGTCTGCTGGTTGTGTTGATATTACTTGGAAGTTGGCCAGACTTGAATTACAAACTCCACATTTCTTGCTTTTTTTATTGGATGTATAATGTGGTTAAAAAGTAAAATAATTTAAAAATGAAACAAAAAAATTATTATTTCGAAAAAAAAAAGAAAAAAAGCTATTTATTATAATTAAAAAACTAAATATATAGTTAATTTTCTCCATCATTAATTAAAAATCCGACTTTATATTAATTATCATAATTAAACAAATTAATTAATATAATAAAATAATCAATTAAACTGATAATTAAAATAATTTTACGGTTTTTATTGGTAAAAACACTAAATAATAACACAACAATCATGGAAATCGAATCTGCTCACAACACTTCATTCACATTAAAATTTATTATCGAAAACTTCGTAAAATCAAATAGCTTTGTTCCTCCTTTTATTGTTCTCATCAAAAAAGAAAGACGAGAATAAGCGATAAGTCTCGAAAATATGGCTATCAATATCACTAATTACGGAAATGAAATAAATAATCAAGACTAAAAAAGAAAGAAAATGGAAAATTTTTTAAAAACAGCAAAATTTACACAAAAATCAGAGACACACCGTTTATTTTCAAAAATAAAGTGGAGCAAATTAGATATATTCGTAATATTTCCAAAACATCACCTCCAACAGAAGAAATAATCAGAGTGTTATTTGGTATCAAAGGAAGAGCAAAACATACACATTTAAAACAAACGTTCTCAACTCTTTCCCGTATGTGCAAAATCAACAATGTGATGGACACTGTGATTTTTAACTCTTTTCAAATGTGTGATACTTCGCATGAAAGTGTTACCCCACACTTAATTGAAATGGTATGTCGTTTATTTGATGATGAATTTGAGATGATTCGTCGAGGTATCATAAAACATATAAAACAGAGGCATCATTACTTCACTCGAACAGCAAAAATGGAAGAACTGAAAAGAATAAACATAGATCCTGAGAAAGTTGTCAATAATTATATTACACTTTCCGATAACTTTAATGGAACGTGTTCTGCTTTGTTCTTTAATATAGATGAGGTTGGATTTAGCGATTGAACGGACAAAGAGAACTTAACAGTTTTCCCGAAAATACAGAAAAGAAATTAAAGTATGGAATAAGCCGATCTGGAAAATGCAGCACTATTTTCATGTGCATCTGTGCAGATGGGACTAAATGTCCTATTGCATATGTTATACCAAACGTGAAGTTTGATGCAAAAATAAAAGAAGAATATCCACTATTGAGTGTTTTTTAGAGCAAAATTGGATTTGTCAACCGTTAGTTTTTTTTGTTTTTTGGATGTTCAACGTTCTCCTTCCATTCATCATCAACAAGAAGATCAACTTAAAATTGGAAAACATTGACAAAAGTGTCATTTGTATGGACAATTTTGGAGCTCATATTGATGATGACTTGTTTTAAATTTTTCGTTCTTACAACATTCATTTACACTTTTTTGTACCACGCACAAGCCATTTAGTTCAACCATTAGACTTGTGTCTTTTCGGTGTTATTAAAAAGTGCTGTATCACATCCCAATAGTAAAAACTGTTTCTCGAAACATAAACGTAGATCAACATGTAACTACTGGAGCGTTTGTTCCAACAACGGATCGGTTCACTGTAGATGTTTTGAACACCAGTGAGATTGAAAAGGTTATGACCAAGTGGATTAGAGATGTGAGAATCACTGACCCAATCACAAAAAGAAACAATGAAGACAGAAACATGAATAGAGGTCTTCTAATTTCTGTTCACATTCGAAAAATAATCGAAATAATTGAAGAAAATACAACCGCCAGAAACACAATTGCTTCTTTTAAAAGAAGAAGAGTTGTTATACGAATGATAGACAACAGAATGAGAATTTATATCAGTATTAACGATGCACAAATTTTCATGAACCATTATCATATCAAACTCAATAAAGAACAATGTATAAAATTGACTCCTCCACAAGATCAAATACAAACGACTACCGCTTTGCAAATTACTGACTATGATGTTCAAACTCTCATAGAACAATTTAAAGCACCATCGAGTAATTTAAACAACTTGAAACTCGAACTTATTGACACCAAAAGATGTAATTTTGTTGATATCGTTCATAAACATCAACCCTTTGACACAGTGATATATTCTTTGGCATCAGGCCAACTTGATATTAAGTATACAGCTATTTTTCAAAATCAAAAATACAAACCATGAAATTTCTCATTAAGTTGGTCAAAGACTCGAAACCCGCACAATGAGGCGCCCAACAAAGACATATAAGCAAATCTTCGCCATACCAATGTTTGACTCTTATGAAATCAGACGTCCCTTCACAAATGAATAGTACGCCGAATACGAAGAACAACAAATTGTTGATTTTGAACCTTAAATCTATTATTTTTTTTTCAAGTTCTGATTTTCTTTTACAAAAATAACCAAAAACAGCCTCAAAACATCTTTTTGCATAAGGCAGAGTGTCCATACTGTATTAATTTCAATAATTTAATAACAACAGATGGTTTATTAGGTTTCATTATTAATTCTTCGACGTATTTAATCCCCAATAAACAAATACTGCTAAAAAGAGCAGTGTTTTTGTTTTTTTTTGAAAAAAAATATATTTAACACAGTATAGTTCAATTATATCAAAATGAAAATGGAATAACAAGTTTAAGTCGTGAAATAAAAAACAAGAAAACGAGAAAAAAATAAAAATTTATATACAAAAACGTAAAATATGGCAAAATAAAAATACTGGTAAAATGCAATAACATTTATTCTGAAACAAATAAATATATTTTTTATACATAAAACAATAAAAAACAATTGGTTTTGAGTTGAAATGTAATACAAATTGCAAAAAGTAACATGAACACATCAATGATAATTAATGTTAACAATATAAAATTTATGCACATCCAACAGTCTTTGTAAAAAATACAAACTTTTCAAAAAATCAATTGTGTATTTTTTTAGACAGTACGATGTAGCAAGATTTTTGACAACTTTTGTCTGTCTGTTATATATTTCACCCCTTTAATATTCATGATAAAGAGACAAATCATTTGAAAAGTTTTTATCAAAGTTTATTAAAATAGAACAAGCAATCATTTAAAATGGTTTTTAGTGTCAAATATATATTATTTTTATAACATTAAATATAATCCACATATTTTCTTTATATTGTTGTCTGACTTCTTTTCAAATATATGGACTGTTTAACCAATTGTTTGTTTGTGACTATTGACATAATGATGCATATAATTATTTATTTTTAATAATCTATTGAAAATATGTTTAAAATAAATAAGGTAAACCAAAACTATGTTTTGATTTTTCAAACAACAAAAAATCAAACTTCTTTATTTATCAATGCTATTATATTGATTTATTTGGTGTATATTTTTAATTTTTGTTGTTTTTTTTCATTATGAGTAATTTATCTTTTTATTGTCAATAAAGAAGTATAATTAATATTATTATTCTTTATATTTGGGTTGCTTAATAATCAATTGAAGATGCATCATTGTTTGTAAAAGTGATGCATAATGGATTTGTTTTATTGTTATGATATTTTACAACTATTTCGACTCTATCATTTTCATTATAACACAGAAGCATGTTATTCAATGTTAATATCATTCACAAATATCAATTTGTGTTATTCAGTGAACATAACCACATTTGATTTTTTTTCTTGTTACAACTAATATTATTTATTTGTTTTGTCAAACAAGAAACAGCAAATTTCTCGTTAAGTATATGTGTGCTTTTTATCATTGTCTTTAGATTTTATGAATAATTATCTCAGAGTAGGCAGAAAAAAGTATGTCTAGATAAGATTAACTATATTTTATGATAAACAACCATTTTTGTTGGTTATTATTTGTATTTTTATTATTTTAAAATTTATAAAACAAACAAGCAGGACAAATTTAATAAAGATATCGAGACGACTTTTTTGAATTAAATACAGAAATAGTACACGTTAAAACTGTAAGTTACAACAATAAATGATCTCGGCTGATTTTACACATTGACACTTTCACATAGAGATTGATTCAATTCATGGGTGTATTGAATGAGTGACAACTTTTTAAACATTCGCTGCTTTTTGTGGATTTCTTTAACCCTTCCAATACCAGAAATATGCTTGTTATAACACGCATACAGATCAATATAAACTAAAATTTGTAAACTAAAAGTTATTCTAAATTAAACAATATTTAGTTTAAATATTGTAGTTTTCAATTCATGTTTGATGTATCATTTATAATATGAAAAAAGTTTGCACGTTTTATTTTTGTATGTTATATAAATTAAAAGTCTAACACAGTTGTGTTATACATATTAGTTATAGAATATATTTTATAATAATTTAGAGTAATGTATATATAGGATCTTTCTTTAAAATGTGAAAAAGGTAGTAATGTTATTCATATACATTTAATTTATTTTGTGTAATGAAAACGATTTTTTTAAAACGATAGTTAAGAAGAAAAATTTCGTAAATATATCTCGTATCCATATGATTCTCAACAAAAGTTCATAAAGTGAGAACGCTAACCATCAGTATGGTAGCACATACAATATAATAGTATTTGATTGTTTGTTACATATATTAAAATTCAATAAAATGTCAACTTTTTTACACGTTATTTACAAAACATCAAAACATTTACAATATAAACTAAATTAAAATAATTACTTTTGGAATTTTCAAAGTATGACGTATTCCTTGTTTTTCAATGAAAGAACTTTTATCAGAATTTTATTTGATACGTTTTCTTATTTTAAAACCCTGTTTTTAGAAAAACTTATAATGTATCGTTTATTATACTATACACAAATT